TACTCTTCTACTCCCACTCGTATGCTTCCCTACATCAGTTTGCATCAAAAGTTAACACGATTTACGATGCTGCTGTGAAGACAAGATGTTGCAGACGACAGGCGTGGCATCTCCATCTACAACTTGAGTCGCCAGGCCGAAGGATTTGGTCGCCGTCTCGAGACGATGGGTCGTCAGGATTGCGGATCTGTCCGCAGAGACGACAACCCGTGCGTTTTACATAAATGATAATAAATTACATTCTATTCATTTCAAACCATGTGTAATTTCAAAATTTTTATTCACAAATTCAATTTGACATTAACGTGATTCAATAAAATAATATTTTGATAAAATTTTATTATATATTTAAAAACCTATGTGAATAATAATTATAAATATAAAACTTATATTGTTTCATTAATGAAAATTAATTTATTTTTGTATAAAATATCCAAATCAAAACAATTTAAGTAGTTCAGTGAAAACAATCAGTCATAAGATTTTTTATGTCAAAAAAATCAACACTCTTTATCATGCTAAAAAATGAACAATGAATTTCACACAAAAAATATTTGAAATGTCGTAATAAAAATTAAATTAAATCGAGGCACACTAATTATACAAAAAAAAAAATAACCAGAGTTTTTTCTATAAAACACATCGATACACGCACATTATATCAAAATATCCGTTCATATTATTTTATCGGAGTTACGGTAATCTTATTATGTTAATTTCATATAAAAAGTTGAAATAAAAATTGAAAGAAATAAAAATTGAAAGAAATAAAAATTGAAACACACGCCTAAAACCAATATATTGGTCTGCGCTCTCCAGAAAAAAGTACACAGTATATTGATTAATTTTTCAACAAAATTCCTAACAAAAACAGTCATCACATAACCTAAATACCAAATATTGATTAATTTATTGATTAAATTAATCAATATTTGATTAATTTATTGATTTATTTATTGATTAATTTATTTCCAAGAGAAACAACCATCAATACCAAAAATAAATTCGTCCACTTTATACCATATATTAACTAATTCACATGATTTGAATAATTAATGTATCTTAAAATATGGCTTGATTAACACTCTTTATCATGCTAAAAAAAATGAACAATGCATTTCACATAAAAATTATTTGAAATGTCGTAATAAAAATTGAATTAAATCGAGACACATTAAATTATACAAAAAAAAAAATGATCGTAGTTTTTTCTATAAAAATATCGATACACGCACATTATATCAAAACATCCGTTCATATTATTTTGTTGGAGTTACGGTAATTTTATTATGTTAATTTCATACAAAAATTGAAATAAAAATTGAAACACAAGCCTAAAAATCAATATATTGGTCTGCACTCTGCAGAAAAAAGTACACTGTGTATTGATTAATTTTCAACAAATTTCCTAACAAAAAAAGTCATCAAATAACCTAAATAAATTTGCTCATTTTATACCATATATTGATTAATTTATTTCCAAAAGAAACAACTATCAATACCAAAAATAAATTCGTCCACTTTATATCATATATTAATTAATTCACATTATTTGATTAATTAAAGTATCTTAAAATATGGTTTAATTAACACTCTTTATCATGCTAAAAAAAATGAACAATGCATTTCACACAAAAATTATTTGAAATGTCGTAATAAAAATTGAATTAAATCGAGACTCACTAATTATACAAAAAAAAAATGACCAAAGTTTTTTCTATAAAAAATATCGATACACGCACATTATATCAAAATATCCGTTATATTATTTTGTCGGAGTTACGGTAATTTTATTATGTTAATTTCATATAAAAAATGAAATAAAAACTAAAACACGCGTTTAAAAACCAATATATTGACCTGTGCTATACATAAAGAAGTACACTGTGTATTGATTAATTTTTCAACAAATTTTCTAACAAAAAAAGTCATCAATTAACCTAAATAAATTTGTTCACATTATACCATGTATTGATTAATTTATTTCTAAGAGAAACAACCATCAATACAAAAAATAAATTCGTCCACTTTATACATATATTTAATTAATTCACATGATTTGAGTAATTAAAGTATTTTAAAATACGACTTAATTAATTCCTTAAATAATGAGCCCAATTTCAATAAGTGATTATTTGATATATATACCATAAATTGGTCATACTTCTTTAAATAATGAGCCGCTATTTCCAAAGTGATTATTTGATATATATCATAAATTGTTAAATTAATTTTCGAAATAGTAAATAAATTTTTTTAGAAAAGTAGTTATTATTTAAAAAATAATCTAACTTTTCTATATATTTATAGATATAAATCAACTGATAAATAATAATAAATAATTGATGACCCGAGAGATTTTCTCATTACACTGAAGTTTTCCGGAAAGCCGAAAAAAAAAAACGATTGCTAATCTCATTGACTGTGACGTTTCCACAAACTGGTTTCTGAGATTTCTCTTCCCAACTAAAATAGCCGTTCCATTTTGTTTCCTTATTTGGGAAAAATTAACTTTAATTTTGTACCAAAAAAAAAATTAACTTTAATTCCTCTCAGAAATTAATAAAAAGAGGAGAGAGCACTAATAAAGCCCAATATAATAATAACAATAATAAATACAGTAAAAATAATCATTATGGGAATGGTCAGACTGTAAGACGGAAAAAAAAAAGTAGAGCGTGTTTTTCGGTGCAAGGAGGATTAAGCAAAAGCTGGTGCGCCGACACGTGGACGCAGGGCTGGCCGTCGATCGACATGCAACGGCTGGGATCAGTACCTTGAGCACCGTACGAGATCTTTTATTGCAACTGCGCGAAAACTGGCAATAAAGCACCAATCAAACTACAAGTTAACACAGCTTGTTAGAGGGAGAAAGAGTGAGACATAGAGAGAGATAGGCGTGTTTGTGTGTGAGAGAGAAAGAGGAGTGTCTTAAATTTCGAGGGGTTGTTGGCAGTGGCTGGCGGCGGCGTTTGCAGAGCCGTTGTGACTTTAATGCCCCCAGAAAACTGTGGCAAAGGAGGATTCATTCAATTCATAGTGATCACAATCAAAGAGTTAAGAGAGACATAGATGGAGAGAGAAAAGCGGAAAAAGAAATGTAGAGAAAAGGGGAAGATAGAGAGAGGAAACAAACGAGGCCCTAGACACACTTCTTGATGTATAAATCGTCTTGTAGACCTAAAACAAAACTGTAAATACAGAATTAGAGACCAATTCCCCACAAAAATCACAATTGCACAGTAGGGGTGTTCACGGTCCGGATTGGTCCAGTTTTAGCCCAAACCATGACCAAACCGGACCTAACGGTTAATTTTTCTTCTTGTCCATAACCGGACCGATTTTATTTTTTAACCGACCATAATTCAGACCGCATTGGATGGTCCGGTTTGGCGGTTAAGCGGTTAAATAAAAAATCTTTGTTTTGGGCCTTCAATTTTTAATTTTTTTCATTTCGGGTTTAATTTTTATTTTTCAATTTTGGGCTCAAAAGAGATTATTTGGGCCTAAAAAATAAGAAAAACAATAATAATGAAATAAAAAATACACAATTCGTCCCATAAGCATAAAAATGCACATTTCATCCCATATACATAAAAATACAAAAATGATGAAGATAAATTATGCAAACTGAACCCAAGCAAGCATTCATTTTTCAGTCAGTTTATACACTTGAAATAATAAGAGCAAAGCATAGTGAATGTATTGTATTTGTCAGTCATAGTGAATGACTGAAGGTATATATATATTTGTTATAGTTTTTTAATATTTACCGATCCGGTTAAACCGGCGGTTTGCCGCAGGTAATCCGTTAACCGGACCGGTTATACCGGATTTTTAAAAAAGTTAACCATCGGATTTTTTAAGGCTTTTTTAACTAACTATTTAACCGATCCGTGGTCCGGATTGACGGTTTTTTCGGTTAAAACCGGACCGTGAACACCCCTATTGCACACCACACACACGCAGTCAGTATACTACATGAAATACAAATGCTTTAATTCACGCTTAATTATATTATTATTGAATAAAAATATACAGTGAAATGTCTTTTTATATTTTATTTATGTTTTATTGCAAAATATGATATTCTTATCTAACAAAAAAATTATATATATAAATATATATAATTATATATTAAAATTAAAACACACTTGCAAGACTCCTAGATTTGTCTAATATTAACAGCGACTATTCATAACAGTCTCAGCACTAGTCTTGCATCTCCCACTAGACGCACTACATATTCATACAATTTGTTAGGGACAAAATCTTTTTCACTGTAAAAAATGTAGGGAAAGACTACATCCCGTTACGAAACTATTTCGTCGAAGTTTTTAATCATAGATTATTTATCTACACTAATTTATATGTATCTAATAATTAAAAATCATGATTGAATTATTCCGTAACTGGACTGTTGTCTTTTCCTAAAAAGTATTGTATTTTTTAGATGTTCACAATTTAACTTATTTATCTAAAAAAATGCGAAGATTATACAAATGGATCGCATCGCTATTGCATATCAATTGTATAATTGTCGCATATTCATCGCACAATTCTTTCTCGAGTAAACTATTTAATCCCAGAAAGTGCGAATTGCTCGTTGCATATCCATATATATATTCATTGCACAATTGTCGTATATTTAATTATTTATCATAAAATGCATTTTTACTATCTCGAGTAAAAAAAATTAACTTATTAACGGATGGTATGCAAAAACCTAATACACTGTGACTGAAAAAGACTATTTGTTTTACCAATTTTTTTATAAGTTATATATACAGATATATATCGATAGAATCCCAAAATTACAGGTTAACCCTTTTTTTCAAAATATCCCAAACACCACCACTACTTTCCGAAAATTACACCCTGGCCACCCACAGTGCCCCCTTTTACCTGCCCGCTATGGATCTCAATTCTCACCTCACCTCATTAGCCTTATTATTATTATTATTATTATTATTATTATTATTAGTCCCTACGCCTCCAAAATGTCGGGGCTTTTCTCGCTAGGCGGTGACAACAATCTTAATCAGAACAATAACAAAGATCCGACGGACAGCAGCAGCTCAAGCCTGTTCCTGTTGAAAAACAAAGAGATCTACAACAGAGACTTCGAGCTATGGCACCACTACTACCACCACCACCACAACCACCGCCTTCAGCAACAACAAAACCTTCACGACGGCGACTTCTCCGTGGGCCCCACCACCACTAGAAGAAACAACAACAATAATAATAATAATATAAGTAGTGGCGATGATCAGGGTTCGAGCCACGGGGGTTTTAGGGTTACGAGGCGCGGCGAAGGGGTCAGCTGCCAGGACTGCGGGAATCAGGCCAAGAAGGACTGCGACCATCTCCGTTGCCGGACCTGCTGCAAGAGCCGGGGATTCACTTGCCAGACCCACGTCAAGAGCACATGGGTCCCGGCCGCCACGCGCCGCCACCGCCAGCAGCAGCTGGTCACGAGGGTGGGAGGCGACGGGAGGGAGGATCGGCTGCAGCTCGCCGCCGGGAAGCGGATCAGGGAGAATCAGGCCGCGGCCGGCGCCGGCGCGGCGTCAGGTGATTTTTATTTTGGATAAGGATCAGATTTAGTATTTATTATTATATTATTATTATTCTTTAAGGGATAAATTCGAGGAATTATTGTGCAATAGCTTGGTTAATGATTGAGAAAAATATGATGGGGGGTTTTTTAGTTTTTTATTTTTTATTATTAACCTAATG